TGCAGAGTTATGGGGGGTGAATAGAAACCAGCCCCAGTTTGGAGGGTCAGAGTTGAACTGGGAGCACCAGTGGTGCTGCAGAGCTTTGGGGGGTCTGTGTGTGTGTAAAATCCACCCTGAGCAGCCCCAGTTTCCAGGGCAATCCCCTTTCCTCATTGCTGGATGACAAAAAATAACAATTCCTGCAGAACAATAATCCTCCCTCTCCTCTTTCCGCGTCGATTTTTCACCAGAAAGAGGAAACATTTTCCTGAAATGTCATTTTCTGGGCTGCGTTTTGCCAGCAAGGAGACACCAACCCGGGGTCAGGAAGGGCTCAAACCCAGAGTTTTGGGGGGGTCACCTGGATTCGTGTCTCTCCCTTTTTTTGCAAGGTTCATGAACCACATGAAGCACCACGTGGAGCTGGACCAGCAGAACGGGGAGGTGGACGTTCACACCATCTGCCAGCACTGCTACCGCCAGTTCAACACCCCCTTCCAGCTCCAGTGTCACCTGGAGAACGTGCACAGCCCCTACGAGTCCACCAGTGAGCCTTTGCTACCTTAAACTGGGGTTTAGCTGGTTTTAATCACAAATCTTGCGGGAGTCACATAAAACTTGGGCTTGTCTTTAAAGCCGAGTAGAAGCAGTTTTTAGGGTGGTCCAGGTGAGAGAATGGGCTCAGTTTTTACTCAATTTTTACTGTTTTGCTGCAAAAAAAACCCCTCTCCAGATGCTGCTGGACTCAAACCATCAGCAGGTGAGGTGGAGTCACACAAGTGTCACAAAGTCAAAATTCGCTTTAGTTTGGGGCAGAAAGTCACTCTTTAATTTCCATTTAATCATTTGGTAATTTAAAGTCATTTGAGCCTTGCTGGTGGTTTGCCAGTTCTGCTCAGAATATTGAAATTCCTTTTAATTTTAAATTTTAAATTTTTAATTTTAAATTTTCAATTTTTAATTTTCAATTTTAATTTTTAATTTTTAATTTTTGATTTTCAATTTTTAATTTTAAATTTTTGATTTTCAATTTTTAATTTTAAATTTTTAATTTTAAATTTCTAATTTTCAATTTTTAATTTTTAATTTTAAATTTTTAATTGTAAATTTTAAATTTTCAATTTTCAATTTTAAATTTAAATTTTAAATTTTAAATTTCTGATTTTCAATTTTTAACTTTAAGTTTTTTATTTTCAATTTTAAATTTTAAATTTTTTATTTTAAATTTTCGATTTTTAATTTTAAATTTTTTATTTTAAATTTTTGATTTCTAATTTTAAATTTTTAATTTCTAATTTTTAATTTTGTCCTAAGGAAACCTCAGAGCTGTTCCCACACAGTCACAGCTCTCTTGTGTCACTCCTGCTATTCCCAAATCCAGCGGATCCCAGAGAAGGATTTATCCCCTTTTTCCACAGGAGAACACTGATAATAAATTTGACAAAAAACCCTGTAATTTGAATTTTTTCCCCCAAATTTGACCTGCTTTTCCTCCTCTTTTTGCAGCCAAGTGCAAGATCTGTGAGTGGGCCTTCGAGAGTGAGCCCATGTTCCTGCAGCACATGAAGGACACCCACAAGCCTGGGGAGATGCCCTACGTGTGCCAGGTGGGAAAAAAGGCATTTAGGGGCTGGATTCCAGAGAAAATCTGGAATTTTCCATCCAAATCAGGGGTCCAGTTGGGTTTTTTTTTCCCCAGTCCAGGAGAACTCCACTAATTAAAAACAGGGGAAGAAACTTCCAAACCAAGTTCTTTTAAACCAGATTTTGCTCCAAATTCTACCTTAATGAATTCCATTAATGAATTCCAATAATGAATTCCAATAATGAATTCCAATAATGAATTCCAATAATGAATTCCATTAATGAATTCCAATAATGAATTCCATTAATGAATTCTCCTTAATGAATTCCACTAATGAATTCCATTAAAAAATTCTCCTTAATGAATTCCATTAATTAATTCCATTAATGAATTCTCCTGCACTGACCGGCTCTCTCTCCCTGTTTAATTTTTCCCTTTTTTCCCTTGGATTTGGAACTGGAATTCTCACTCCCTTTCACAAAGGGGGTTGAAATCTGTCTCTCCAAACTCCTCTGAGTTTATTATTCCAGTGGGAATAACCAGGATCTAATTCCTGAACTCCCCTGAGCTCTTGGATGAGCCCTGTGTGTCCAGCTCGGGCTGTCCCACCATTCCTGAGTATTCCTGGGAATGTGCTGTTGGAATCTCTCTCTCCCTTTTTAATTTTTCCCTTTTTTCCCTTGGATTTGGAGCTGGAATTCTCACTCCCTTTCACAAAGGGGGTTGAAATCTGTCTCTCCAAACTCCCCTGAGTTTATTATTCCAGTGGGAATAACCAGGATCTAATTCCTAAACTCCACTGAGCTCTTGGACAAGCCCTGTGTGTCCAGCTCAGGCTATCCCAGCATTCCTACTATTCCTGGGAATGTGCTGTTGGAATCTCCACCTCCTGGTGAGGAGCAGGAGCCGAATCCCTGCGTTTTTTCCCCATTAATTGGGATTTTTCCCTATTTTTCCAGGTGTGTCAGTACCGTTCCTCCCTGTATTCCGAGGTGGACAGTCACTTCCGAATGATCCACGAGGACACCCGGCACCTGCTCTGCCCCTACTGCCTCAAGGTCTTCAAAAATGGGAATGCTTTCCAGCAGCACTTCATGAGGCACCAGGTACAACAGGAATCTCCTGTCTGCAGGGGGAAAAATGAGGTTTTAGTAGGGAGAATTTGGGAATTCGGGGATTTTACCGAGTTTCTGAAATGATTTGCCCCAAAATCCTTTGCTGGACTCCCCTGAGAGGCAAAGGGAAGGCAGATCCTGAGGGAAT